AGTCATTGCGGTGTCGTCAGGGACCTTACTAGAGAGAGTGGCGCAGCTGCCGTAGTCGCTCATCCACATCTTTCACGGTCTCATGCACCTGCTTTAGACAAGAGATGCGGCCATTAGAGACATTAAAATCAATTTCATGACTTCTGAAATGAGCAGTCGAGCCGCTACCTGTTGTGGTTCCCAAGATACTAAGGAATGAGCGGGAGGTTCTCGAAACCCTCGCTTAGGGTTGAGCGAGGCGGAGAGGCGCCGTCGCTTATTTTTCGGAAAACCGAGCGACGAAAATAATTGTTGGGACATTTGCCGAGCTGCCGAGCACGCGCGCCAATAATTTGTGCCAGTCGCCTAGGGACGGTGAGCCTTTCGAAAGATTACGCAAATTCTGCTGACATAGACACAAATCCCGCTGACGTAGTATATATAAACGGTAATTACAAGATAGCCGATAATCACCCAACCCGATAATCCGCTTGAGAAAGCTCCCGTCCCTTAGGCGCTGGTCAGGAGTCTGGGTCCCGCCCTCCGCCTTTGATGCGTAGCGAGAAGCGCCCGCTTCGTAATCAGCTTGACCTACAACCGCCACCACAGTGACCATACACAAGCCCTGGGTTGCGCATATCCACCTCACCTTTTTATTATTATTCCCCCCTACACTAAAATTGACATATATCATGTCTGGAGCGAATAATGCGCCCGATGCGGACACACTGGCCACGTCTCTCGAGGGTACAGACCTCCAGAACCTGTACACATCCATCGACAAAACCAAGTGAGCCCGTGCGCACATCGTCTTGCGTCTTCTGCCCATGTATCGGAATTGCTGACCCTGTGTGTAGTGTGCACGGGCTCAATCTTACGGTGCCCGAGGACGCGCAGGCGGTAATCAAGCCCTGGGACGAGCGGAACGACACGAGTGTGTCGGCACAGTCGAACGTCGATGACCAGGTGCGTGGCTGACTTCTATTTGGCGAGTTCAAAGACTAATAATGTGCGAGGCGTAGATAATAATACACGTCCCCTTCACGCAGAATGTGCGCGTACGGTCTGTCTTGCTGAAGCTCGGTGAGCAAGGTTGGCTGTACATCAATCTAGGATATATCTGAGCTCTGTGCAGGGCGAGGAGAAGAGACACCGCGTCATCTGCGGTTGTACGCTAATCACAATACTATCGTCGACTTTGCGGAGGCAGAAGAGATCACGCCACAGCTTGATATCACCCTTCAAGAGGGCGAAGTCGGCGTGACAGAATACCCCTTACGTGCCGCAACCTTCGCCAATGTGTTCTCGCTCTCCTTATATTTTGTACGTCTACCATTCTGTGTTTGCTTTTACTTGGCGTACTTACAAGCTTGCGCGGACAGAACAACGCCATAGGCAGCGATGTCGCACGGATATTTTACATCGGCTTTAGAGGCGACAATAGAGGGCAGCGCAAAGAAGGCACCAACAAACTAGAAATACCTGCTGCTAATGCACCGGATGCGAAGATTATTGATCGTGTTACCGAGAAGGCTGGTGCGCAACAAACAACAGCCCGATAACGCCTGCTGTTGGTCGACGACTAGATAGATTACTCCGCGATAGATACACATCTATTCCCTTGTGTGTGCTTATTAAATGTTTGAGCAGTACTACTTTCACAAGATATGCATTTTTATCTGGCAGAGTTACGATCAACAGCGATAACGAAAGCAACAGACAAAAAGTAGTACAAGTTTAGTTCTGGCTACATTTCTTTTCCTCGATCTAAGCAAGACATCAGTAAAGCACGTCGCGCGGGAAATCGAGTGAAGATACGGACCATGGTGATCTGAACGATCTTGTACATGCTCACCCTCAATACGCCGATCCGCCGATCCGCCTTGGCGTTGTAGCTGCCGCGCATTCCCGTCCGCCCCACACCGCGTTCTCGCCTACACCGATACCGCGACCTGCCCACGAACTCCTTCCCCCCGCCCCACCCGGCGTGCCCTCGCCAGGCAGGGCTCCGTAATGGAGCCGCCACGTACGTCAGACGCCCTCGTCGTCGCTCATGAACTCGTCCTCATCTTCATCATCGACGGTCTGGAGGTTCGTGAAGTCGACCTTGTATCGGAGGAGGCCGCCGATGCCACCGAAGCCCTTGACGAACTGCGCGCCCTCCTGGGAGCGGTTCGTGACGAACTCGAGGTTCGCGCCAAACTCCTTGTACTTCTCCGTGAACCACTCGAGGAGCGGCTGCGGTTCGACGACCTGCTCCATCTCGAGGCCGGTTGACTTGTCGATGAACTTCTCGCGGTCCTTCTCCTGCTCCTTGCTCGCGTGCACGATGGTCTCCTCGCCGGCCGCGTTCCGGAGCACATAGCGGGTGATGTCCATGTTCTCCCAGACGATCAGGGTCTCGCAAGCACCGAGGTCGAGCGCCTTGAGCGTGTCATCGATACCGAAACAGTATTTGCCGGTGTCTTGGCTAATCTCATCAAAGTACTTCTGGATAAGCCTCTTCTCTTGCACGAATTTGACGTTTGCTAGGGACTCCGAGGCCAGTTCAATGGCCTGTTTTCCTTCGGTGGTCAGTTGTGCTGTGAGAAATACGCCGCAAAAAAATACATACCTGGTTGAAACCGTTCTCACCACCATAACTAACATCGACAACCTTGATAATCTTCGCCGCCAGACGCTGGTCGAACATGTCGGACAGGGAGAGCTCAGTCTTGAAATCGGCGGAACCTGCAAGGACGAGACCAGTTACGTTGACTTTGTCGTTGGTTATGTAGTGCTGGACAGCGAGCTCGGCAACCTTGCGGACATAGTTGTGACGCTTTTCGTCACGGAGACGGGCGAAACGGAGCGCGGACTGACCGCCGCGACCATGCTTCTTGGGCAGGTCGACGGTGAACTTATGGATGACCTCGCGCGTGTTGCCGGCGACAGTCCCGAAGAGCGTGCCGTTACCATCCATGACAATGAAGCCGAACTTGGAATCAGATTCGAGTAGTTCTTGCAGCGCCTCTGTGTGGAATTTATTGTCGCAAAGGTAAAGGGAACTGAGAAACACGGTGAGCGGGAAGGTAGGTAGATCGAACCAAGACATACGTGTTGATAGGCTTGTGGGGCTCGAAATCGAAGGAAACTTTCTTCTCTTTGCCTTCATCCGTCAGGATCGTTCCGACGAAGAGCACGAGGCCGTTTGGTGGAACACGGTTGTAAAGCTTCAGACGCTGCTGAGTACTTGTAATAGCCGCGAGCACAGAGAGACGGTTGACACGAGACTTGATGTTCGACGCAGTGCCGTACTCCTGCGTCAACATGGCAGAGATACGAGAGATTTGGTCCTGTGCAGGCAAGCGTAAGCACATCACACGCAGATCAGCGCGAATCGAGCTCACTTTCGGTGGAATGATTAAGCTAATCATGGAAGTGCCTGCGCTGCACTCCTCGATGAGCCCATTCGTTCGAATAACTCTGTGCGAGCTAGACACTCACCCCCTCGCAGCGTCAAGACTCTTGATGAGCTTCTTGACCTTCCACATCTGAATGTTCTGCTCCGCCGAATCCTGACTCATCTTGGGCGAGATAGAAGCACACCGTCAATAGAGTGCAGGTATAGAGGCGACCAGAGAAAGAGGTCGGAAGGGGGGAAAGCGCGAGCAGCGCAGGTGACGGTCGCAGGAAAGCTGCGAAAGATTTTATCCGCTGAAATCGCCACTTCTATTTCAGGTAAAATATTAACCGCTCATAATTATGTCATGCAAAATTTAGGGCGCTGATGAGGAGAAAATGTCGGACCGACGCCACTTTTTTCGCTACTTATAGCTACGGATTCCCGCTTTGGGGAGAACTTAAGCACAGGACTTCCCCAGTTTGGTACGATTATGCTCCATTATGACACCCTGGGCGAAAGGGAGGCCACTGTACCAGCCGAGAGTCAGGCCTAGTCAGGTCCGGGGCCGCTACCATCGACATGTCCGTCCATTCCATGAGCTGAGATGCAACGCCCCGATGCTTCGTATAAGTAGTTGTGGCGAAGGCGGCGGAGACTTTTTGAGGATCTCCGAAGCGCTGGATTCGCCGCCCATATGTCGAGGAGAAGCTGAATATGCTCGCAATAGGAGAGCCGCTTCTTGAGGATGTCCGTGAGGCCCAGCAGGTTGCGCTCTCGACATGCGACAAACATCATCGACATGTTATGTAAGCATTTGGAGCCGAAGATCCACAGTTGTATGAGACTACTCGTTACGATTTGAGCAGAGGAACATGCTACATCAAACTAGTGTCTATCATATAAGTTACAGAGCTACAAGGATAGCCATATTCTCGAACATGAGATGCTGCGTGATACGCTACGAGAAATCAAAAGGATAGAATGTTGAACTCTGTCTTCAAACCTGGTGGCTTCCATTAGTCAAGCATCCATTGACCGACTCTTTCGTCAGCTTGCTAACACTGCCATTGACATGCTCGTTGACGTGCCCATTGAGCGCATATCCATTGGCGTGAGGCTCACTGTCAACATCCATTGAATCTTCATCAACCAGAACTGCAACACCATCTATATCCTCCCCATCATTATCTTCATCGTCGTCATCATCGTCCACGACTTCGCCGTCGTCAGCCCCATCCCGAACAGAGTCGAGTGCACCTGCAGGCGCCTCAACCTCGGCCAGAACGGCACGTGCGAGGGCAGCGAAGCCTTCTTCCGTTTCGTCGTCGAGTTTCTTGACCTCATCTAGCTCGGCCACCTCGCGGGCGAAGGCTGCCTCGCGCTCCGCCTTACAGTCGCAGATCTTAGACAGGTGGTACGGGCTTTCGAAGTCCCCGAGCACTTGGCGTGCGCGCTCGGCAGCAAGGCCCTTGGCCAAGGAGATGTTCTGCGCCGGGATGGGGCCGACGACGGCGAAGTCGTGGACGATGATTGACATACTATCGTTTCTCTTCATGGTAGACTGGCTTTGCGATTTCCTGCGTATGCATCGCATGAGCACCGGCGCCCACCAGAAAACCAGAGAGCGCTCACCGGAAGCTGATTTTCATGCACCCTTGTCGTGCTATCCACACCATCAGCTCGGAGACCGGGTCGCGGGGCATGTCCGGAGAAAGGACTCTCAGGAGGCCCCGGAGAGCATTCTCGGCGATGACCGCCGTTTTCTCAAAGTTGTAATGCGTGTCCACAAGGACAGCGCCGAGAATGCTCTCCAGGACATCGCTGATCGCTTTCGGCGGATCATGCTTCCAACCGCTATGGATGATCTCCTCCTCCGATGTCTCTTGCAGAATCGGCACGTACTTGCTGATCGCCATGCTCAGTTCGATGTTATTGATCAGCAGGGGCCGGTGCAGGCCCAAGACGTTCACTGCTATATGCGCCAACGCGGGCGCGCAGACGGCTCGAGAGCGAGCCCAGGACAGCTGCCCAGACGTCGCAGTCGGGAATTTGTTGTACAGGTAGCGCATCACTACCAAGTCGATGAGGGCTATATTGAGTAAAGTTCAGCTTGTGCACGGAGTCAGAGGTGGCACGCCTACCGTCGCCCATGAATTCGAGTCGCTGGTACGAAGAGTTGGTCGGTGATCGGAAAGACGGATGTGTCACTGCTTCGATAAGCAAATGCCCCGACTTAAACTCGTAACCCAGGATCTCCTGAACCTCGTGGAACATGACCGGCACAGGCGTCTCAGGTAGCCGGTCGTATCTCGCAGGCCAAAGCAACGTCCCCCCAAATCCCAAGCCCAGTGCGGTCCCGACGTGCAGCGCCATCATGATCCCACCCGTCGCAAAGCCGGCGCCGAGCGACGCCTCCATGCAGTCTTGCAAGCTGCGCTTCGGGATCCGTCGGGAGACGAACCGATCTGGCATGGGGTCGGACAAGTCCACCTCGCCGGAGAGTGCGAACCGCCAGATGCGCATCGTCTGGGGCTCAGAGGTGAGGTACTGCTCGAGCATTACCTCCTTCGCACGCGCGAGCAGCGTGCGATTCGAGACTGAGTTGCGCCGAAGAATGTCCAGTTGGCCTTCGTGCCTGTGTGGGAAACGATTGAAGAGATGAACAACAGTGCAGAGCTTGAGCACAGAGTCGCCTAGAGTCTCCAACCGCTGATTGTTGAAACCAGCGTTTGCGCTGGGCAAGGTGAGTGCTTGAATCATGAGGTCATCTTGGATAGGCGGAAGGCCGAGCTCTGCTCTGATCGCGCGCGCACGGTAAAGATCCGTGAGACGATGAGTAAGTTCGGGCAGAACTCGAAGGGCACGATATACGTCGGGCGATAGCGGCGCCCAGCGGCAGAGGCTCATGGGATATATATGTGCGCCAAGGGGTTGCGTCTTATTGGCAGGGACCGAGGAGCCGTCGAGGTTGTAAACAGTGGAAGTGTGTCGAGGGAAAGGTACTACTTCGACGCAGTAACCTTGTTCAGGTATTTCGGGCGGGACGCCTTTGCGGGTATACTTCGATATGTAAAATTCGCGGTAGGACTTGCCGGCGGCCTCTCTGGTGCCAGCAGGCGGAACGGATAGTGGTGTGAGGTCATTGCGGATTCGTTTGAGCAGTAGAGGACGACCGTGCTCCTTGCTAGACATTACCAACAGAGTGTTGTAGTGCTCTTCACCAACCATGGACCAGTCTCCGACGCCGAACGGATGCGCCAGAGCTAGCTCGATCGCGTGCCAGTCGACGGCTAGCTCATGAGTAAGTGGGACTAGGAAGCACGTCAAGGGAAGAGTAATTCCTCTCCCGGTGATGCACCACCATAGGCCCATTCTCATAAAGTCTTCCAGTTGCCGCCGCTGTTCCCACTCATCTTCCTCGTCAAACTCAGCAAGCTGAGCCTCGTCTGTCGAGACGTGGACTCCATCGCAGACGAGGCTCCCAGAGGGAAGAATGCTACCAGTGATCAGACCCGCAGCTGGGCGTCCGTCAAGGCGGACAACGTGCAACCACAGCTTCTGACCTCTTGTCCACGGGTCGCGAACGATGACGTCCATCATGTCGGGGACGTGGCTGACGTCGCCTATCGGACGTCCATCGGCATCGTCATTGTCACCAGTAGCAGAGCGGGCGGGTAGCAAATAGTTGTCGAAAACTCCTAGTTCGTGCAACCGTTTGACGGCCATAAACGCAGCCGCACGCTTTGCTTCCTTCTTCGTTCGTTTGGTGGGTCCGGTAAAGGTGAGATGCTCCTTGGGCAGCGGTAGGCTTGAAGGCAATTGTAGAGTCGCCTCGAAATCGCCGGAGTACTGAGGTAGATGGATCGGGGTGAAACGGTCGCGGGGAATGAGTGAACACAGGTGATTGAGCAGACCAATGGCAGTATTATACGTGAGAATCGCGCCGGTGTTTGGTACCACGTAGCGTTCCCGTTCTGCGAGATCCAGTGGGTCTTCACGTTCTTCGCCTTCTTCCAGCTCGTCGTCTTGGACAGGCTTCGGGAGGTCTTCGCGATTCTGGTATACAAGTCGTAGCTGTGGCTCGCTCTCAGAGAAGGCTTTGTATCGATCGACATGAGATGCCTGGCCTTCCTGGACCATGACCATGAAGGTGGCAGCTTTTTGTCGTGCACGCCCTCGAGATTGTATGTAGCCGACCATGTGCTGAATTGGATCGAAACGAACGACTAGTTCGCATGCCTGAACAGCACGTTAGATCGCACCAAGTGGATCTAATGACCGCACTTACTGGGAAATCGAGACCTTCCTCGGCAACAGACGTCGCGACAACTGTGGCCCTCTTGAGCACAACCCAGTTAAAGAGGTAAGGAAGCACTCACGAAGATTGCATTCGCCGTCTCTGAACATCTTCACGGCCTCCTGTTGCGACTTGAGGGCCATACCTCGTACTTGCGACTTCTGGACGCTGCTGGCGCCATGTCCGATGAGCTGCGCACTCTTGAAGTACAATTCCAGTGGTGGGATCCGCGGGAGCATTTTTGATAGACACGCAGCAACGTGTCGTTGCTCGACGAAGATGATGCCCTGAAAGTTCTGCTTGTAGTATTCGAATAGTAGCTGGGATAGAAGGACGACTTTGGGCGAGCACCACTTCAAGTCAATCCTGATGGGCACAGTGTCGGGGTCATCTTCGTTGTCAAAAAAGTCACTGAATTGCTGAAGAACGAGTTCCATGTGCGCAAGCTCGGGAGGCAGCTGAATGCCTTCGGGCTGGACACCATCGAGGTGCGTCGTATTCATATACTCCATATGGTCTTCTGCCTGCGAGATGAATTGCGCGATTCGATGCTTGATGTCGTGGTATAAGAATAATTCGGCACCATACGGGCCTAAGCTATGGTATGTGACCTCGAACCGTGTGCGAACCTTCTCCACAGGTATGTCAAACGAAGGTGGTAGGGAGTCGAGTGCAAGTCTCGCCCACAAATTAGTTGCCGGGTAGTGGGGATAAGTGATAGGTGATGCTTGGTATTCGCGGAGCACCTAGATCAAATCCAGGTGAGGGAAAATCCCGTATGTACCGAATAAAGGTACATACCTCCTGAGGGCGAGGAGAATGGTCTGCTAATTCCTCGACATGCTCGCGAACAGCAATGACTTTAGCATCGAGATTGCGCTCGAGCGTAGCAAGAGATTCGACGGCGTCCCTGGGATTCCAGATTGGGGATGCCGTCATACCGAACACCTTCGGCCGCTTTTCGGAGGTCCATTGGAAATACTCCCGCATTATACCGTTGTACGCATGATTCTTTCGTGTGTGATGACATTCGTCGAAAACCATAAGGGATACCTGACGTAAGGCAAAGGTCAGCAATGAGGGCTCGGGAACACTGAATCGAACTCTACGGCCGCCAGAAGAGTAACGAAGGTCGCGGTCGATCCAAAACAAATATAGCTCGAGCACGACTCGATGAAAACCGGGCAACGGGCGCCGTATACCTGCTCGGTTTCGGTCGCTCGAGTCGAATCTTCAGACCTCGAATATCGATACTGCAGCAGCGTGAATGCTGTTAACTGATTATCCACCGATGCTGAAACTCTTGCGGTAGCATCTGAGGATACCCTTGTGGATATCATAGATGATACTGCAACGTTTCACGCAGCGTGACCACAAGTAATCAGCCAACAGCGACCCATGCGGCAGCAGGACTGACACCAGATGCTGACGGCGGAATTGCGCGGCTTGTGGCCACTAACATGTTCAGAAGAGAGCCGGCAAGCTGAGCAAGGGAAAAGAGAGTAGGTCGGTCTGTCGCCCGAAGTACAAGCACAAGAGCTGAGCAAAATGGAGGCAGCTGGTTTACCACATACCTTGTCCATAGTCCAATGTGAATGGGTCAAAATGTTCAGAAATATCTGAGCTATAGACCGCCACACACATACTTCAGAGACGAAAGGCCGCTCGGGAGAACGAGACACGCACCGGTCATTACAAGTACATCGTGTAACTCAATCTCCTTCCTCCATCCCCGCCTGTCCGTCATGTCGATAGCCGTTGCTCCATAACACTTGCTTACACGCAGGGGCGTTTCTCTTGCGATGAAGTCGCCCTGCTGTTCAACGAGTGCCACTTTCGGAACGAGGAAAACGATGATCTTGCCCAGCCCGGCATCGCGGGCTGCAATCCACTTGATAAGGAGCGTGCTTATGTAGGTTTTGCCACTGCCAGTGTCGAGGGCTGCGATGACGTTGCGCTCTTGAGCGCGAGAGAAGATCTCCTCTTGGTATCGTCGAGGGAGGAGAGCTTCGTTCACGTCTTGGAACTGCGCCATCGTGCCAGCGCCGAAACCTACGTAAGCACAATCTGTATCGTAGACAAGCGAGATTTAACGTAGACGAAGTCGCATCGCCGAGCGCGACTAGCGGGGATGGAGGACGGAGGACGAGTCGGTGAGAAGAAGACGAAGGGAGAAACCTCGAAATTCCGCAAGGGCTGTGACAGTACGGCTGTGACAACTGGATTTGGCAACCATTTGTGACTGCGCCGCGGCTCGCAGCAAGCTGCGCCCATCCGTAGTACTCTGGTATTTAAGCCGCTACCGTCCCCTCCGCACACCGCACATCCACGCAGCACACCAATCATGGCCATTAATCCTAACGAAGACACCGAATTGTGAGCAATCATGCGCTGCAATCTCAAACTCTTCCGACCTGCCGCTCAGTAACGATGCTCTCCGCAAGCACGGCATCCTGCCACCCCGCCCGGCGACCCCTCCATCCCCCTCGCCGCCGCCCCCGCCGTCGCTCCACGAGCGGCTCGAGGATCTAGACATCGACGAGCTCCAGGACGCCGCGGAGGACGCCCGCGACGACGAGACCGCACGCGTCATCGAGCAGATCCGGAAGGAGCGCCTCCGTGAGCTGCAACGCTTCCAGAACGCACGCTTCGGATGTGTATATCCTATCGGCAGGGAGGATTACACGCGCGAGGTGACCGAAGCCAGCCGGGTCGACAGCGACGACGCGGACATGGCCGACAAAGGCACCGGCGTGGTGTGTTTCTTGTACAAGGACGGGTAAGCAGCCGAGTGTCATGTCTGTGTGGTGGCGGAGGGGCTTATAACCGACCGTGTCCTAGCATGCCACGCAGCGACCGCGCGTTTGAGCATGTGCGGACCCTCGGGCAAAGGCACCCACATACAAAGTTTGTTTCGATCGTGGGGGACAAGTGCATACCGAACCTTCCAGACACTAGAATGCCGATGTTCATCGTCTACCGGAAGGGCGAGGTCATCAACCAGATTGTGGCCTGGGGTGCTGACCGAGAGCGCAAGATTGAAGGTGTGGTTAGTCTTTGTTCTACCTGGCTCGTTTCTCATCCCCGCCGCAGAGCTCGAGGCCGTGCTCATCCTGGCGGGTGCAATCGTCCCGCAGCGCGGTGGCCCCGGTCGGAAAAAGAACGACAAGGACGATGACGATGACGAAGATGACGAGCCGTCGTCGAGAATGCGTTCGCATGTCACAAGTACAAACGCCAAGACGCCAAAGAACATTAGGAAGAAGGAAGACGACGACTCTGACTTTGAGTTCGACCTGTAATCCAAGACTAGCATAGCAACAAGCCAATTCTTAGGTGCAATGTAGTAGTACATGATTCTGGTTAACAAGCAGTGCGATTATTGCGTTTAGTCTACAGCACCATGTAAAAGCCGAAATAATCACTCTGGATTAATCAGAGGCATGACCTGCTTCCTGCCCTTGACAGGCCAGACCTCGGTCATCGTCTCCGCGTCCCAGACCTTGCTGCCACGCACGACGTACCGGATGTCCCTCGTCTTCCTGATGTCGCCCTCCAGCACGTCAAACACGGATGGATACACCACCAAGTCTGCGAGCTTGCCCGGCGTCAGCGACCCCAGCGACCCATAGATGCCAAGCGTCTTCGCGGCGTCGAACGTCGCCGCGCGGATGACCTCGTAGTTAGACAGGCCGCCCCGCTGCGCGAAGAACATCTCGGCGTGGTAGTTCAGGCCCAGCGGGGGTTCGCCATGCGCGCCGATGTGCGCCCTCAGGCCCATGCGCACCATCTTTGCGGTTGACTCCGAGGTGTTGAACAGTGCGTACGCTAGAGCAACAAACGGTCAGCGAGCGATTTAGAGTGATGCGGTCGAGAATAAAGGGCACCAACAGTTCTTTGGGCGCGCCGTGGACTCGGAGAGGGCCTCGAGAATGCCGTGCCGCGTGAACCGCCGCAGCTTGGGGTCGTTCGGGACATCCTCCGTCGCCCAGACATACTGCTCTCCAAACACACCGCCGTAGTTGACGACGTGCGTCGGTGTTAGACCTGTACCGCTGCGCACAAACAGCGTCAAGATGTCGTCGTAGAGCTGCGGCACAGGCAGCGCGTGCTCGATCGTGGTCATGCCTGCCGCAAAAGCTCAGCGACGCCGGACAACTAGAGTGCAGAGAGAGAAAGGCACATACCGTCGACGATGTATGTCTGATCTCAATCGTAATTCATGCCGCCCTCGGGGAAACAGAGCATCGACAGGTTGCGCGCGACGGGAGATTATAGTTCTTGTACGAGTAGCTCGCCGGCCCGCCCTCAGCCTTGATGCGGACCAGCGCAGCATACGCCTCGTCCATCGTCGTGATGTCCTGGTGGATCCCCGGTGCGCCTGCGCCGTAGATCCTGTCGCCAACCTGGAAGATGCGCGGCCCGTTCTCCTGGCCTCGCTCGACACGGAAGCGCTCCCAGAAGCCACGGAAGCGCTCCCAGAAGCCACGGACGCTGGTTGCACTGGGGCTGCGGGAAGCAGTGTCAGAGGCCGTCAACAAACGAAAGCTCAGAGCGTGCGGCGTACTTGTGCAGCGTGGTGACGCCATAGGCGAGGAACGTCTCCAATTCCCATGACTTCGCAGGGAAAAAGTCAGCGAACCCAGCCCAGTGGGCATGAATATCGATGTAGCCAGGGACGATGTAACCGCCCTCGGCATTGATCACAGTCGCACCGTGCGGGACAACGTAGTCCTCAATGCCCACGGTTGCCTCGACCCTGCCACCTCGAGAGACAAGGACCGCATCGTGCATTACATCCTGCAAGAGGCTTCCAGACTCCATAGTGAGCAGTGTGGCATTCGTAAAGACAAGGACATCGGCATTCGCCAACGCCTGCTCGTCGTTGGTGTGCAGGGCAGCCATAGCGTCAGCCTTGAGACGGCTCACGTCCGACGGGTACCTGACGACAATCTCAGAGAACTCGACCAGCTTCTTCGTGCATGATATCCCGAAGTTGAGTGTGTCATCTGCAATCTCGGACGAGCACTTGCCCAAGGAGGAGACTTCAACGGAGTGCAAATACGGCCCTGCAGACACAGTGAGTCCAACCGGTCGAAAGGATTCAGCAAAGAAAACGACACATACCAAGGAATCAGAACAGCTTCTTCCCGTCCCCACTCCACACCACATCATGCCCTCCGTCCAAACTCAGCCGCGCGACGCCCTTCGTCGCGTTTCCAGGTTTGCTCCACACCGCCTCGTCGGCCGCCACCTCCGGCGCGTGGTACACGTGCATGAAGTCGACGAACGCGACCTCGGATGTGCGCGGGTTCACGACGAGCTCTGTGGACATCGCGCCGCTCGCGACCGTCTCGTGCACGTATTCGCCGTACTCGTCAGGGCCGGCCGCGAGGTCGATGATGAAGGCGTGGCTCCTCTGTTACACGAGGATCTTGGCGGCCTTGTCCAGGAAGCGGACCTTGGTCTGCGGCGGCGAGTCCTGCACGGGCGCCGAGGACACGAACTGCACGTTCTTGACCTCGAGCGTGTTTTGGACGAGCGACGGGCTGGACGGCAGGACCAGGTCGGCGATGCACAGACCGGCGCCCGCGGTGGCGACGATGTCCCCTGAGAGGTAGGTTCCGCCGAGGTACAGACCGGTGGCTGCGGCGAGGGTGACGTCCTTCGAGAGGTAAGTTCCGCTAGCTTTCATGAAGGCGATCCGCCTCTGCCGCCCGGAGCATTCGCACAACACCGGAGAGAAGTACCGTCCGAGAGGAAGCCCGGTCACTTCGTACGCGTCGCCAGAGCTGACATTCGCGATCTCAAACGTCGTAAAGTTCGTGTCCGACCACCGTGCATGCACCACTAGGTCCTCCGCGTTCGGTACGAACGACGGCGAGAAGTACGCTGCCTGCTTGTCCAGCACCGGCACAGCCGCCACCGTTTCGTCCTCGACGTCGTATACGTAGTTGACACCCGCCGCTTGGAACACGCCTTCGAACCGTTATCGTTGACGCGGAGTTCGGTGAAGGCATAGACACGCTGCGTGTCGTGGGTCTCGATGGCGAGGATGTCCGTATCACTGTTCCTTGTATCAGCGATGCGCTTCTCTACGTGTGCCAAGAATGGAATAGGCGAAGGAGACGCATTCGCCTTCGTGCGCTCGCCTCGTGAGTTTGTCGAAATCGGGACGTGGTAAATCTGACCGGCAGCCCAGATAATGATTGCGTCATCCTTGGGTGTGAAAGCGAAGGATGGGTAGGTGCCCATTGGCGCAGATATAGTGGTCAGATCGTAGGTCAAACCGTGCCAGACATGATGAATACTGCCGGTGACAAGGTCCCTGCGAAGCAAAATTAGTAATAAGACATGGTGGATAAGATACTCGCTAACTTGAGCACGAGAGCCTCCTTGTCTCGCACCCGACGGACGAACGCCAGAGTCCGACCATCGCGAGAGAGCTCGGGCCGGCTAGCACCACCGGGGAGGGAGCCCACCAACGTCGTCGTCGTCTGGCTCGTAAGGTTGGTAGAGAATATGGCGTAGATACCAGAGTGCACGTCCTTGCTGTACGTGAGCGTGTCGGCGTCGATAACATTCTTCACATAGATCAAACTGTCTTCGTCATTCCAAATGAATTGTTCCGGGCCGATTTGCTGGTCACCGTAGTCCTCAGAACTCCAACCGAGAGGAAGCGTCCTCGAAACCACGCGCTTGCCGCTCCCCGCCTCGATCTTGGTGTCGAACGCGTCGGGAATCTCGTATTCCCAGCCTTCTTCGGCTCCGAGACAGTACCTGGAGGTATACCATTTGGTCGCGATGACCTTTTTGCCAGATGGGTGGAAGCGAGCGTCAGAGACCGTACGGTATGTCTCGTTGGTGACTCGATGAGCTATGAGGTGCATCCAGTACGATTCATACAGCGTAGTAGCTGAACTCACCATGCAACCTTCCTTCCCTCAGAAGTCGTCTCTCCTTTTCCGATTCAGTCTCTTTGACACCTCTTGCCAGAGCATCTTCCTCCTCATTTTGCCGAGCCAAAGCAAGCTGCAGTTCACCGCGAGCGTCGTGCGGGCGAACGTCCATTGCGTCGCATCCCTTCCATGTCGTCATCCAGATATTCTCCACACCAAGTTGTGCATCGCTACGGAACACGACCTTGCTTCCGTCCGCCGAGAAGTGAGGGTCAGAGTCGTGCGGCACGCCAAGCAGGACTGGGCGAGCCCTCGTGCGCTCGCCGACGCCGTCCTTGTACGCGCTCGCGGGTATGCAGTAGGTGTCGCCGAGCATGTCGAACACGATATCTCCACTCTTCGGGTTCACGTCCAAGCGGATCCATGTCCCTTGGGTGACATCGTAGTCGAGCTTGCGGGGGTACGGGAAGTCCGTGGAGATATCCCAAGGTGTGGGCGGGCGCAGCGGCCAGACGTCGTCCTTCCACTCGTTCGCGGGGTCACTGTGCGCAACCAGCGGGCGTGCCGCTTGGAGGAGCGTCGCGTCACGCGTGAGATAGGTCGGAAGGAAGGTGGCGAGTGTCAGGGCGGCAGAGAGGAGTACGACAAGCGTGAAGAAACGCGACTGCGGCCTCGCTCTGGGTTGCAGGAGCACCTTGTCCCAAATTACATTTCGGGCTTGAGACGTTTCGTCCCTCTTCTAAGTACCTTGTAAGCAGAACGAAATCCTTTAAACGCCTTCTAAGGGCCTTTTAAGGCCCTTGTAAGTACCTTAGAATCTGACTTCTAGGCTATCTCAAGATCAGCGCCTTTCAAGGTCAATTTGTAATTTGGGACACTCTGCAAGTCCCTTCATCGTGCACCGGGGACCAGCAGAGCTTGCAGGCCGATGCAGAGTGGTGGTTGAGACGGAGTCGGCAGCAGATGTTACGAATCATGTTTCACGGCTGATCGACATCTACAGCACCAGCGGAAAAGCTGTCCACCACTGTAAGCTGGCGCGAAACCATCCATGTAGAATTGAGCACGCCCTGCTCAACAAGGTGCAAGCGCGTCATGACGAACGCGTGCGTGGGAGAGCTTTTGGGCGTCTCCGGCTTCGGACCCCAAAAAGGTTCGCTCCTGGACCCCGCGCCGGAATATTTGCCACAGCGTTAACTTCACTATGGTCTGACACCATTTCGTTGCGCTTCACGCATTACTGTGGGTTTTTGGCCAAATTAACCTCCGACGATAACTAGATGCTACTGTCTCTCCCTGTCCTCGTGGTCGTGTGCCGGTGACCCCGACCTGGTCGTTACCCGCACCCTGATTGGTCCTCGACCAATACTTAGCCGGGGTTTGTACCCGCACAACATATCGGCCCTCCGGCCAGATTGTGGCATTTGCACCCCCGTTGGGATCCGAGAACGGCTCTCGGTTTGTACCCGCATTGGGAGGGACCTATTAGGGAATATGTAGGGGTCCTCCTGAGTCCCGTCACTGTAACAAGATCTACAAGATTTGCTTTGCTTTGCTTTGGGAGACCAATGTTCGATCCCGTTGCTCACTATGGTGAAGACTCTTACTCGGTGGTTCGCGCGATTCAGTCCACGCCGTACGGACGATGTCTCGCATCGTGCGGTTTCCCCCAGTCAGAGACTACATACTGTCGAAACAGTGGCCGGCTCTGCAAGAAGTACCCTATCAGACATGTCAGATGAATCAACGTTGGTAGATACATTTCCCCAGACTTTGCCGCCAGATTACACTGCATATAATCTGCGTACGTCGTCCGTTTACTCTCCTCTGCGCGCATCACAACCAACCGGCTAGCTCTCCAGCAACAGTGACCATCTCTGCGTCGACGTGTGCAGATGTAGTTCGCACGCGGTCCTTGCTTAGGCAGATCCTTCTGAGTCGTATCGTGGACAGGATTTTCAGTTACACCGACTATCTCCCCACCATCTCGCAATCCAGCGGCCGGAGAATAGCAGTCGACGATCACACTCTCATACTCGCCATACCCCTAACTCAGGCACAATCCAACAGGATCATGCACGTCTCTCTCCTCATCCGAAGCCACGACCAAGGGTGGATCCCGGGTCCTGACCGGCTGTCTAACAGGTCCTGGATGTGGTTTACCATATGCACCGAGGGGCGGCTCGACGTCGACGTCGACGGCGGTCCCCGGCTTGTAACCAACCGCCGTGGTGACCCGAAAACGTGGTCCTACGAATTCGAATGGAACGCCACATCTGCAGAGGTGCGCAGAATTCAGGAGGGCAGAAAGATTGAGATTTGGGCCCATGCACGGTATGTCCTGTTGCCGTGCGTGGGAAGTCGATGCTGACGCTCATTGAAGATACTTTGGGTGGAAGAATGTCTTTGAGGAAGCCAAGATCACAATATACTTTCAACCTCTGGTGCCGTCGCCAGCGGAGCGGTGGTCCTGGATCGAGGCCGCATGCCTTGAAAGGAGGACATATTCATCTTGGATAACTACTCACAGTCTCCGCAATTGCTTCAGCAATCGTACAGCAGCTATCAAATTGGGCAAATCCATCTACTGCCCACAGTTCTCTCCGCTGGCATCCAATTACCTGGACGTATGCGAGAACGGCATAGTCCTGAGGAACTCACTTGCGCTGTATACGCCGTACCTCTGCAGCAAGCTCAATGACTCGACTCATACCCACCGGTCTTTCGCAGCCGTCATTCAGGGCATGGACTGCGAGCCACGTCTGCACGGAGAGGAGCGGCAGCGAGTCCTCAACGATGTCAGGGACCTGCTGAGTAATACAGCTGAGAGGATCCATCTGCCCTCTGGGACGTGGCCAGACGTATCTAAGGAGGTCATAATGTCCCTCGGTCAGCTGTCATTCTCTGCGCCACAGTCGGTCACGATCAAAATCTTCACGTCGATGTGGCAGGATCCAGATGGCTCCGGGCTTCTGTTGTTCTTTGCGGGACTGCACGAGCAGGATCGGCTGGACGAAGAGTCTGCGATTGGGCGGCTATGCAAGGAAGTTCTTGTCCAGGCATCCAGCGACGGTAGGCCACAATGATATGTCCATCTCCGACTGAGTCTGACCCGACGTGCAGAGGCGATCAAGTGTTTGGAGCAGTCATGTCACAGGCTGCAAAGGTTGTTGGATGGGAAGTACGAGCATCAGCTGAGAGGGTTTGATCCCCTGGACCACGTCCGCCTCTGTCGGCTCTATCTGCGCATATATCAACGCTTTGTTTCCCTCGCCGGCAGCAGTTCGCTTTCTGCAGGCGGCAGACTTCTGAACCCTTTCGACGACGGTACCAGCACTCTATGGGCTGAGATCTGGAGACTTCTAGCTCGTTTGGTCGACAAGTACTACGCAGACAGAGGCTGGGGCGGCTCGCTGCGCAATGGGACGGGCAAGATGAGGTGGACCACGCCTTCGCAGAATGGGAATTCTGTCCAGGGTAAGCCTTAAGCGCAGTCTGATTGCCCCTCCGATGGCGTACTGACCTTGACCCAAGCTGTCTCCAACTTGCAGCTTGACCTTTGTCAGCAGGACATAGCGATGGCTGGCGAATGCGTTGCTGCAATCGAGCCATTGGAATCTTGTGGTGCTGGTCTCTCACATGAGCTAGGAGTTGCGCTTCAGCGCTTCCTACCGGGTTCATAGCTGGTACCAGAAGCAGCACCGGACCATAATTTCTGCTCGACACAAGGGTCTGATTTTTCAATGTAATTAGTGCTTATTGCTGTGAGCAGAAGGCACGTCTAATTCGAGAAATCCAATTGACAAAATCAGCTCTATCACACAGTCGAGATCAGGGGAACGCTCGGGTACGGCGACTGACATGTACACTTGGAAGTCTGTAAACACGAGTCAACCAGCTACAAGAGGCGCGACCACTGTGTCCGCATCTGGATTGGTCTAGGCATACTGTGTTGAGCTTGTGCTGAGTGTCTGCAAAAGTAAGATGAATTTGCGTACTCTAGCCAGAGCTGATCTGCGTACGGTGGAAGGCCACAAGCCGATTCGCTGGTGAGCAGGAACATGACCGCGTCGAACGTTCGCGAGGTCGCCGTGCGCAACCAGCGAGCATGTTGCTTGGAGGATCATTGCGTCTCGTGTCAGAAAGATAGCTTGGAAGGAATGTGGCGAGTGTCAGCGGCGAGCGAAGCAGAGAGGAGCACGACAAGCCCTGAAGAAACGCGATCGCTGCCTCGCCCTGCCGTCGCCGAGATGCAGGGATGCCTTAGCAAGCCTCTTCATCGTGCACTGGGACCAGTAAAGCTAGGATACACCGCCAATTTTCGCCCAGGTAGAGTCCACACCCGCGCCTAAACCGTGAGCCACCCGAGCGATCAGATGGCTGAAGCGTCTCTCTCGTATGATTACCAGACGGCCGGTAAGGTCTGGCTACCATGTGGTAGCTCATCTGGTCACCAGGTAGTGGGTCACACGACAGTCACCCAACAGGTCCAGCTGGATACCTGCCCAAGGATTGCGATTATTTTCGCACGGTTTGTACAACTCATGTATCGAAGATAATGTAGAAGTTTATGCTTTTCAAATCGAGTTTATCGGCATGTAGTAACAACGCCCTGTATATACCACGGCCATAAATACAGATGCGGTCATGCTCTCTTGCGTTTGCGAGAAGGCTCAGGGTCTTCTTCCGTGTCTGAGTTGTGATCATCTGAGAGCCCCATCTTGTCGCCGCCACTCTCCTCAAGTTCTGCGTCCGATGACGCTACACTTTAACAAATCCACATCCACATCCTCCGGCTCATCGCTTGACTTATCGTCG